TCGAACCCAGTGCCCATAATTTCAAACGCCGAAGCGTTATCCACTAGACCACTTGGGCCACGAGAACCACCTCTTGTGCAACGGGTCATATTAATTTAATTGAATATTTCAGATTTTCCCGTCGTGGTCCAAGTGGTCTAGTGGATAACGCTTTGGCGTTTGAAACTATGGGCACTAGGTTCGAGCCCCAATGGGAAATGCAGGTACATCCAGATGACGTGTCCCAAATAGGACGAAATGTGCGTTGTCCTAGATTCCACTGCTAGTCACCATCCACAAATTAAATTCTGATTACATGCCCAGGCATCGTCGAAGCATCTGCACAAGAAGCCGACAGACACGTCAACCTGAGACCGAGCACTTCGGTCCAATGAATCGACGGGGAAATCCAAAAAATTTAATTGAAGATAGGTTTAGTTAAGTGTCTTTATAATAATAACAATAAGGGGCAAGAGATAATAAAGAAGATTTGTAGCTAAGGTGGATGATTTGTAATTAGTTGTGTTCTCTGAATAGGCGGTTGGTTTAGTTGCGGAGCTTTCGTCGTCCCCCTTCTGGGCAACATCCGCATTCAACGCAAGTTTTAGCGTAAAGTGAAATGATTTAAATTCTTTTTCCATCGGTGATAGAATTGCGTCTCCCGGTAACCATCTTTACATATGTAGTGATCGTTTTTATTGACTTGGATTTTAAACTTTCTCGTCCCATGATCTACTTTTTATTAGCTTGTGTATTTAGTCTATGTTAACGTGTTTGTTAGTTGCATATTCGTTTGAGCACCAGGCTTCTAGGAATTCTCTGACACTTTTGGTGTTTCCTCTGTTCAAAATTTCGACATTATCCCAATCAATTTGATGTCCATAATGATCAACATGCATTGACATGAAAGAATATATAACATGTCTTTTCACAGCTAATTTGGGTTCTTGGATTCTGATTCGAAGTGGACGCCCACTTTGGCCGATATAATGTCTATTACAGTTCATATATGCAATTTATTTTGTGAATGGTATTAATTTTATCTCCTCTTTCTGTTATATCTTTCGGTTTGCACAATATCGAATTAAGTGATTTGACTGGCTGGCTGGCTTGTGTACTATATCTATTTTAAACGGTCTCCATATTCTAGCTGTTATTTCAGAGATATTTTTTATATATATGATAGGATGAATTTTCTTGTGTCCAGAAGGACGACGAAAGCTCCGCAACTAAACCAATCAACTCTTCAGAGAACAATACTAATTGCAAGGGGCAAGAGCCTAACTAACTAGTAAGCCAGAAGACTTAAATAATGAAATGAAACAAATAAAGGAAATATTACTAGTGAATAACACATTCACTACCCATCAGAATTTATGCAGAAATATACGAAGAACCACAGAAAAACTAAGACTGGCAATACAAGTGACGAGAATAATATGGAATTCAAAACCTCCGTAGTATTGCCGTATAAAGAAGGAATATCAGAGGCCTTACGTAGAATTCTCAGTGAGGTTAGAATTAGAGTGGCGTTTAAACCAACCCACCAACCAACTCTCTCAGAGAAAAAACTTTGCCGGCTTAAGGGCCCAATATATCCAATTAAGAAAAATAAATATAATTTACCAAATACCAATTAATGACTGTTGTCAATGGACGTGAACATTGAACGTTTGTTTTATTGGATCTGGCAGCCATTAATGGGCAACTGAAAGTCGCGAATGGTCGATCGCTTGCAAGCTGAAGGAAGACTGGAGTTAAATACGAATAAAAGTACTTTATAACTTCATTTGTACTTAACATTTATTTGTAGACTTTGTAGTTTTCTTCAATTTAATTGCCAAACAATATAATTTCGTCCAAGGAATACTGGTGTTTTGGATTTAAAGTTGAAGAAAGTACATAGTATTTATCGGCTCAATCACTTAAGTCTTCATTACAATAGGAACTTAGGGCTAAGTTCCTTGACAACTGTCTTTTTTTATTCCTTTACGTTCCCCCCAATGAAATATAGGGGGTTTCAAGCTAGAGGCTTGAAGTTTCAGTAGCAGTGGTAATTATTTTTACGGGATAGGGTTGCTAGCCTCATACCCAACCTTCCCTCTTCACCAGTTTTATTACTGGCTATGCGGGGTAAAGGAGTGAGTCACTAGGGAATTGGACCCCGAACCAACTGCATGGTTGGAGAGTATTCTACCGCTGTGCCCTACCGACGCACTAAAAACTGTCAGTTGGGGGCAATTACGTGGGTCAGGCAAATTAATAGATCAAAGTCAATTAGATTATCACAGGATTATAAAAATTTAGTTATACCTAGAATGATTGAAACTGATAATAACCTAGAAAAAAAAGAGGTCGGTCATTGCATTACATTCACTTGCATGCAATTACACAATAGGGTGAAACTATTACAAAGTAATATAGTTGGTTAGGTGGAGAGAGAGAGGTTAATCACTGAATCCTTGTTTATCGATTCAACACCGCGCAATACGTGCAATCGGAATGACATAATACCGTCTATACCGGAGATATGGAAAGTGGCAACAAACAACACGGAAAAGACATATAGAGAGGAAAATATATACAAGACAAATTGTGAAGCCGTGTGACTGAAACTGATATAATTATGAGTGGCAATAATTTATGCTTAAAACCTTGTCATCCAGTTGTTAATGCTGCATCATCACTGTGTGTGTGTTGTTTGAAATAAACTTATCCAATATGCAATTACATTCTATAACAGTGCCCAAGCTCTACACAAATTACTTCTAACTTCTGTCAATTGGCAATTCTTAGCGCCACCACCATAGAAATGTCGTAAGTTTGATCCTTTGTAGTACGCGTGCTGCTGAAAAGTCCCAAACAAGGATGAAACCAATGTCTAGAACTCCTCGTTCTGGTTTTCAGTCGATTGTCTTCATCGAGGCGTGTTGAAAAAGCGCTAGCACATGGTGGTCAAACGGAAACATGGTTTCATCAATCAATCAAATCCATAACAGTTAGTTTAAGCCAGCCAAGTAGGGAGGAGTAGACTTCCTACCTACCTGGTTGGGTTCCTTAGGGATGATAGGAACCAATGAGGGCTGGAGACAATTGGTGATATGGCTTAAGATCCTCTTCATCATTCTCTTCTGTTGGTCTGTGTGCTACATGAAGGCGGAGTTGCAACTCGAACAGGTGCACATCTATGCAAAGTTCTATGCTGAAACCAGTCAGTCAGTTGACTAGACTGAAGTGAGTGGGAGCGAGATATGGAACTGGGAAACCACTGATTGAAAGTCAAATACTTAAGTAAATCAGCCTACTACTACTCATAAAAATGTTGACAGCCACAAGACAATGTCACAATTATTATTATTGTCCCTTTGGGTTCCGAGTAGAACATACAAATTCAACAACACATCTCTACTTTGTCCCCACTTTGTCTGCATTCCTCTTCAGCTGGCCCGACGAGTGTCCATAGTCTCTGAACTCCTCTCTCTGTCACTCTCGAACATCTATCTCATCATTTCCTATTCAGCAGATTCCACTCAAGTGATAGCCTGGCGAGTGACCACATTCGACGGTCTCCTCGGCCAGTGTCCATTCCATCTTCATCTCCTCCGGGATATTTGTTGAGTGATAAGATACTTGGTTAATTCATTCCTAGAATTTCTTGTTGTTAATTCTTTCTGATTGACCATCTGATCTTCAGTACAGAGTAGTCAGCAAAGGCAGCCAACACTGTTGATAATGGTCGACAGAAGGTTTAGTTGGAAATGCTTGTCGTGATACGCACGCTAGCTAGTGAAGTTTGTGACCAATAATACTGAATGGTGGAAGATTTCCAAGCTGATTTTTAAAGTGAGATGAAAGTTTGTCTCTCTTGCTTTTCCTATAAATAAATGACACCCTCGCCTAGTTAAATACCTTGTTAGCTTTCTAGCTATATGACAATGAGGCCACGTGTCAGGTGATCCACAACGGAAAGCTCAGCGAGGCGTTTAAGAGAATACAGGAGTAAGACAAGCTGGCTGCCTGTCTGCCTATTATCACCGATGATATTCCTAATTGTGGTGGACTGCATTATGAGTCAGACTGTGAATAGGGGGCGAGGAGACAGGAATACGCTGGTCCACAGATAAGAAGACTCTAGAAGATCTGGCTTTTGCCTAATGTCTAATGTCACACAAATTCGAAGAGTTGAAGGCGAAAACCAACAAAGTGGACGAAAAGGCTGGCGGCGACGACAGAATTCCAGGTGAAGATAGAGAAGACGGAGGTGATGAAGATAACCAATCACCATCAACGGGAGAGATGACTTGACAGAGGTCACCTCCTTCACTTATTTATACAGCAAGCATCGTTTCAACTACAGGTGGAACGGATGAAGGTGTCGAAGTCAAAATCTATAAGGCAAGTTACGCCTTCATCAACCTGAAACCAGTTTGGAAATCGTCTGCATTCCACCTCAGTATAAAGAACAAGATTCGAATTTTCAACACCTATGTCAAGTTGGCCCTTCTATACGGGTCAGAAACTTGCACTGCGTGTGAGTCACGAAAAGGATTTCCCACAGCTTGCTTCAGACTTTTACCAACAGCTACCTCTTCTCCGGCTCTATACTCAAGGCCAAATACCCGGCTGACCAGAAAGAATGAGCAAGAAGAAACTCTGGCTGGCAACAAACCAACAAGCAAGAGCCAATCGCTCAACAAATATGTAGGAGAAAGTGAAGATGGATGGATCGGGCAAACATTGAGGAGGCTGGCGAATGACGTCGCACACCAGGCCAACACTGGAGTGGAATCCTGATGTGAGGCGACGAATGGGTCGTCGGTGCGAGGGTGACATGGAAGAGATCGTGTGGCGAAGAGGAGATGACAGTTTATGGTCAATCCCGGACATAGATAGATGAAGAGGACGGCAGACAACAGAACAAAGTGGATTAGTGTAGTCAAAGCCATCTGGTCCACTCGGAACCCACGAGAATAACAATAACAATAATAATAATATACACATACTACTAAAATAATACAAACCTTATTGTTTAAATTATTATTATTATTATTCCCACACTGATCATATTGACTACGTTGATACTCTTCAATCCTCCCGTCAATAACAACACCAGTTTGACATATACAACCAGCATAGATAGTAACACGTTGACCAATCGATGGTATCGGTGTTAAAATAATCGGTGGTGTACCCAATTTAAAGGAAACAATCGGTAGACGACAGGTTAAGCGTAGCTTCACTGTCCAGACCACTGAAAAATTGATAGAATCTTTTGATGCCAACGGTTGATTCCAAATGAATGCATCATACGAAGGTGAAGGATGTGATGAAGGCGAAAACGGCGACGACGTCGAGGAGGAGGAGGCGGATGACGATGAGGATAGAGGAGAAAGATTTGAAGATGTTGACGGGGAATTTGGATTTGTAGGGGATAATAATAGTGTTGATGATGATGATTTCGAGAGATGTTTATTGATTAACATTGGATAAGTGAGTAGAACCATGCCACGACGTAGTTTGACAGATGAATGCCACATCTTATCGGTATTACTATCATTCGGTTCTTCATTGTAGGGGATATTCTCTTCATTCCCGGTGTTATCATTATCATTCCCAAATAATAAATATTGTGATCGTTTATTTTGTTGATTCATAATACTATTGGTGTTATTATTATTATTATAAGATGAAGAGATATTTTGTAATATATGAATACGTTGCGTATAACTTAGCGTGTTCCACGACTTCGGTAAAAAATGTACCTCCATTGAAGCCAGCTGACCAGCATAGACAATTTCATGAACTTGACGATTATGCATTAGACTGACTATTTGAACTGGATAAAAATCACCAAACTGTAGGGGGGGGGCAGGAGGAGGAAACACACAAAAATACAAACATTAAGAAACAAGAATTAATTCGTATGACTCAAAAATAGTCAGTCATTATTGATATAAGTATAAAACTTGGGCACTATGGTGGTAGAGTATAACTCCATTATGGATGAGATTTTATTTTGATAAACTGTCACACAGGGTTCCTAGTACAGTATTATTAACTGATGACCACGTTTCGAGCACAATCTATTGCAACCCATAATCATATCAAGGCACTGCTCACACAACTTTCTTCCTTCATTTATATACATGAGTAAAACTGATTAGACATTAGAATAAAATCAATATAAGATAATGTGCATTCAGGAATAATAATATGAGTGTTATCAATCAAATACAATCAGATGGGAAATAAGACGAGTGTTAGAATGTTATGATGTACGTGAATTGAAATAGAATTTAAAGATTATTTATTATCCTCATCTGATTTGACTGACTGACTGGTGGTAATAATATCTTCCATGCATATCTCTGGTATTTGCATTGAGTCATTTCTGTTGTATGTGTTGTGTTGCGTGTAGACTGGATGAACCAGGCAGGATTCAGTAATCAACCTCTCTCCCCACCTACATAGATTACTTCTTAAAATCTCAACCCTCTCCTACCTTATTGTGTGGTTGTGTGTTAATGCATGCATTGCAATTGCTGAGCTTTTTTCTAAATTACTTATCTTCTCTGGGTCAACCATTCTAACCTTGGCTAAATTCTTATGTTCCGACAATCTGATTACCCCCGATCTACTAGTTTGGCCTATGCAGTTGACGTCACAGTTATTGCAGGGTATTTTGTAAATTATATTATTCTGTTTAATTGGGTCCACCGGGTCTTTAAGCCTACAGAGCTTGTCTCTCGTCTTATTTCCCACCTGATTGTGTTTGATTGATAACACTCATATGATTATTTCTGAATGTACATTATCCTATACTGATTTCTATTCAAATGTCTAATCATCAATTCCACTCATGTAGATAAATGAAAGAAAAAGTTGTGTGAGTAATGACCTGATATGATTATGAGTGGCAATAGTTTGTGCTCGAAACGTTGTTATCAGTAAATATTACTGCGTAATACTGTGTGATTTATCAATATAAAATCTCATCTGTGATAGAGTTAATAGTCAGTCAGTCAGTTTAGAAGAGGTGGTACCATCATCATCACAGAACCCCCAAGGAACAACTGCTGAAGGTTGGTTACACACATACACACACGGTCTGTTTGATTTAGTTCTTAGAGTTGTGTCCGTATTAAGAATTCAACGCTAAACACGGACCACTGCAGGGTAAGTCGAGATGTACAATTTTCCGGGTGAATCTATTCTAACCCTTTCCTCATTTCCAGAGCAGAGAGAAAGCATAGCTAGCTTGCCTGTCCTCCTCCAAGGGTAACACGCCTTCCTACTGTCACATCCTTACCTACACCAGTAGTGCGAATTCACCCCCACCCACAGACCCGCAATATAATGTTAATGACTTCTACCATGGTGGTAATCGCCATCTAAACGCCTTTTTGGGCATAAATAGGACTTGCAGGAACATTACTTATTGCTAGCATAGCTTTGTTACGATACATAAGCGATACCATAAGCCTGACTACCACATTAAGGTAGCAGCCGCTGATCAACTTTGTCAGCATGTTTATTTATCTCATTGTTCAACTACGGAGCCACTACATTTGGGTATACACAATTAGGCAGGTTCATCATCGTACTTCCGAACATCATCGTGCATAGTTAAAACCAAGGGACAATTAAGATCCATTCGTAGCTCTGTTTTGGCACACCTTGTAGACCTGAAGCTATCGGAACATACCCTGAAGAAGCAAATATTTTTTCAGTCAATCCTTTTGCCTTCTAGAAGCCAAAAGCGTTAAATTACTTGTTTCTGCATTTTCATAAATGTTTCAATCGGGGAGGGGGATACCCAACGGATAGCAGCTACTTTGACTTGGGGTCGTCAGGTATGCATATTGCAAAGACCAAACACAAGCCAATCTCCGGAACTAATATGCCGCAGGTCCTACTATACAAGAATAATCTTTCGGATAGCCATGTCACCAATTGTTTCCAACCATTGGTTTTAACCGTCCCGAGGACCCCAACCAGTCAGGAAGTCTACACCTTCCTACGTGGCTTAAACTAACTATTGTGGATTTCATTGACTGGTGCCATGTTTTCGTTTGACTGCCGCTAGCTCTTTTCCAAACTTACCCTATATCAGCTAACATTGCCCGTCGAGGAAGGCGATGACTAGGCATACAAGTCCGAACCATCTCAGTCGATGTAATTTCACAGTCTCGTCGACTGATTTCCCCTCCTTACCTAGCACTCGACGCCTAACCTCAGTATTGCTCACCTTATTATACCACTTCACACGGGAGATAGAACGCAGACACCTATGATCGAACACAGCTAATCTTTTCATATCTTTCACTCTCAGTGGCTAGGTCTCACAACCATAAGGGAGAACGAAGCGGACTGTTGAGCTGTACACACGCCCTTTGGTCGACAGTCAGCCGGATATCACGTCTACTAAGCAAGAGATGGCGTAAACTGGCATATGCGAAACTAGCCCTCTGTATCCGTACTGAAATTTCGTCAGTGATCAACCCGTTGGTGTTGGCTGATGCAACTTCCCAAATCAGTGAAGCAGTCAACACGCTCCACCAACCACTTCACTCCTTATTACCACTGAGCTATTCAGGATGCCAATTGACCTCCTGTAGGATTAACAGAACTAAGTTTGCACACCAAACAAAGGACCAGACACACATTACACTAGTTACCACCAGCTAGAGTCCAATCAAAGTAGCTATATAAAAATATCACGGTAATGATAATAAAAACACAGGTAAGCATCTAAGAGAAGACACGATCAACTTACATGATCCGGACCAAGCCACAGTATTTGATTATTCAACAACTGACCAAGTTGTACACGTCCAACTAGGACGGGATTACACACTCCCGGGATTTGTGTATACACTTGATTGATCCAAAACAGCGTACCATTAAAATCTCGATATGTTTTAATAATTTTTATTTCTTCACTGATTTTACTTAACATTAACTGAATTTGATTTTCATTTAATGCAAGGAAAATATCTGTTGAATTTAAAGATTGCGCTTGTTTAACATGTTCAGCGGTGTTCAAGGGTTGATTTGATGTAGGCTGTTTTTTTTCTTGTTTTAATGATAATCCCCCGTCGATTGATTGATTTAAACAACTTAAACGACTTAGAAATTTAATTAAATGATCAATTCCTTGGCCAGTTACAGAGGAAACAGGAAAAAATGGTGGCATACACTGACTTCCGTTTGAATCTCTGTCAAAAATAAAGATTTTTGAAAAAATACATGTCAAAAACGTAAGAGTAATGGTTATCATGAAACAATAGCGTGACGCTATAACAAGATATTTAAGATGAATTTCGATAGATGGCCTCCTCCGGGGCCGTAAATTAATTTCCTGCAGTTGAGAGTTGATAAGACACCCCAGTCTTTCTCAAATGGTCACGCGTCCACAGCCTCGGCTAGATAAATTATATTCATTGGCGCACACAGGGCTAGTACGCAAACGTTCAGTGCTCATCACTAGACTGGTGGAGATATAAGAGCTCCGATTACAAACCTGTGGTGCACATTATTATTATTATTATTGTCCTCCTGGGTTCCGCGTGGAACATATCTTTATGTATATATTAGGCTAAATGGTCACAAAGAATTAGCAACAAGAAACTCTGGCTGCGAACAAACCAACCAAGAGCTGATCGCGCGACAAATATGTGGGAGAAATTGGAGATGGATAGGTCGGGTATATGTCGCATCGCATACAAGGCCGTCGCCCGTATGGAATCCCAATGGGAGGCGACAAGGGGGTCGTCGGTGAGACGGTGACATGGAGGAGGTCGTCTGAGTTGAAGGAGATGAGGCATTATGATCACTCGTGGATGCAGCTGAAGAGGACAGCAGAAAATAGGACAAAGTGGAGGTATGTTGTCGAAGCCGTATGTTCCACTCAGAATCAAAGGGAGCAATAATATATACCGTAAGTTATGAAGCCGTGTGTGATTGACTGACTGGTTTCAACATAGAACTACTTTGCACCGATATGCAGCAGTTCGAGTGGCCACACTCCCTCCATGTAGCACACAAAGCAAGAGAAGGAAGTAAAAAGAAATGCAAAATAGAGACGGTAAACAGAGATATGAGGCAAAAAGAATAGTAATGTGGAAGAACAATATAATTTTATTGGATATTCTAAGTCACAAGGAGTGGATGCATCTGCGCCTGCCATTGAGAACGATTTTGAGCCATATCACCAATTTCTCGAGGACCGCAACCAGGAAGTCTACACCTCCATACGTGTCTGGATTAAACTAACTGTTATGGATTTGATTGACAGATGAAGACAACGGGCAACGCTAGCTGACACAGAGTCAGGTTGCAAAAGAGATAGTGGTGGTCAAGCCGAAACATGGCCTCATCAGTCAATGAAATCCACAACAGTTGGCTTAAGCCGAGTAGGGAGTTGTAAACTTCTTGGTCGGGGTCCTGAGACGGTAAACACCAATTAAGGCTGGTGATGTAGCTCAAAATCGTTCCCAATGGCAGGCGCAGATGCATCCACTCCTTGTGATTTGTAATACCTAATAAAACTATACTGTTCTTCGATATTACTATTCCTTTTGTCTCACATCTCTGTTTACTCTCTCTATTATGCATTTCTCCTACTTTGTTCTCATGCTTTGTGTGCTACATGGAGTGTGGCGACTTGAACTGCTGTACATCGGTGCAAAGTTCTACGTTGAAACCAGTCAGTCAGTTATTCCCTACAACAATGATAATGATAAAGAATGGAATTTTCCGCGTTGTTTTTATACATATTGCAACAATTCACCTCCTTTTACATAAATATGTACATACATAAAACTTAAAATAGTAATAATAATATTGATATTAATAATAATGAGACCACTATAAATAGAATGTTGGTGGAAACAGTATGAAGTATTAGTGGATAGTAGCATAGATAATCCATGTAATAATAATAATGATAATAATCTTTGCTTATACCTTGCAGTATTCAGGTTACTGATTTAAAATGTCTTTAATTTCTTTTCTGACATCTGACTCTCTTTTCACACACAACCACCCGCGCGAAATACGGTGGTATGGTAGAATTTTCATATTGAATAGCAGTACGAGCATAAATTCTTATGAAGTTTCTTATGGTTTCACCCACGAAGAGATCCACGGAGACAGTTGGGAATAAGCAGAGAGGATGTTCAGTATCCGACAAGATAACTTCAGCCAAATGCTTGCAATAATTGAAGTGCCTATCAAGAACACCAATGTCAGTTAGCTGAGTCAAAGGCAGCACATAACACAAACCCTAACTACAGCCTTCATTGTTCTACGTAATATGATATAGTCGTTTTTGAGAAGTCCAGGGAAGAACAAGTGAGGCGAACAATAAAGAAGGTGAATGGGCGGAATACATGAATTAACAATAAATTGTAAGTGAAGAGGTTGAGTTATGATGCCAGCAGAAAGTCTCAACTCCTTTATGTAGCAATAAGTCAAACGAAGACATTTGTGCTCAGAAATCAACATGATATAAGAGGACCAACAGGGAGATTCGAAGAGAAACTGATACCGAGATAGGAGGTATTTGACTTACTCCCTCTCACACAGTGCCGCCAATGTTACACGCATGTCCTGTTCGCATCTGAAACTAAAATCAACAATATGATGGATTCAGTTTCGAGACTGTTTATGACTGAGACAATTTGTTAACTTCAGATAAGAACATTGAAAGCTCTTCCTTGCTTACTTTCTAATTCATAAAATAAATTGAATTGCCTCTGCCTTTGAGTTAATGTTTTGTGTTTTTAGTACCGTGCATGCATCATTTAAATACCTCCATCATACTACTTTGGAGATAAGGGCCGAATATTTTAAACGTTAAGCTTTTCCCACCTATCTGCCACTTTCGGGAATATCACTGACCCGATAGAAGAGTAAGAGAACTATGAAAACCAAGTTTCAACACTGTCTAGTTATAATGAATGATAGGATTAGGAGTAATATATATCAACTGTGTTCAAAACTTTTTCATCCAGCAAAATAATACAGTTTCCCACCATGTGTGTGTGTGCATGTGGGAAAGGATATATCTACCCAATATACAACTTAATATGAAATTATCAGGTAAATATCGAAGTTATACTTAAAACGAATTTAATTTCCTTTTCTTTCCCACCCACTTGAATGGGTAGAACAGAGGCAGCCATATACGATTTGCAGTCCCTCATGTACTTCTTCTTCTTATCTGATTGTGTGTACTACGTGCTAACGAAAATCTTTGTTGTTCTAAAGGTGTTTTTCCCAGTCATTTTTTAAACAGCTGGAATATATCTGTTGTGGCCTTTGGGTTCCGAGTGTAATATAGAGCATCAACAGTAAATCTCCACTTTGTCCAGTTGTCTGGAGCCGGGCCTCACGACTACTCCCATTAGCTCTCATCTCCTCTTCAAAAGATCTTCTCCATGTCAAACTCAAACACATGTCCAACTCCTCGTCTCTCATTTGGCTTCCACTCTAGCCATGGCGTGTAAATGTTCACGATGTCACTCAAGAAGTCTCCTAGGCGTGTTGAGCAATAGTTTCTTCATTGCTTTATTCCCAGAGTTACTTGTGTTGCTAATTCTTTTCACCAGCTATCTGATGTTCAATAACGAGCTAGCGAACGGAGTTGTTGATAAAAGTTTATATAGTAGCCTCTCAGAAATGCCCTCCAGGTTCTTGACTCATATAGAAGAATTGAACAGCTTTAGATTGATGTTCAAAATCCGGATTTTGTTCTTCATGTTGAGTGAAGAAGATTTCCAAACAGACTTCAGAATGATGAAGGTCTATCATGCCTTTCCAGTTCTGATTTTGATATCCACATCCGTGTCGACTGCCAGTAGTTTAGACGATGCTTCCTAGATGAGTGAAGGAAGTGATTCAGTGTGGTGGGGTATCTTTATAACTGCCTTCTTCTCTATGTTTGCCTGAATTCTTGACTTCTCTGCCAGTTTGTTGGTTTGCACCTGCCTGCAAGTCTTCGAGTTTGTGTGACATTAGGCATAAATTATCCGTGAAGTCCAGATCCCCTCTAGAGTCTCTTCTTAATGGACCCATCATATATTGCTGTCTTTTCACTCCCAACGCATACACAGTCTTCCGCATAATTCAGTTCACCACAATTAGGAGCATCAACCTTGTCTACACTCCTGTATTCGCTTCAAAAGCTTCTCTGAGGTTTCCACTGTGGATCACCTGACACATGGGGCATTTTCGTATAGCCAGCTGTGGTTGAATAAAGTTGATTTAGGGCGTTGCACGTCATACTGTTAAAGTAGTTTCCAAATTACTTCTCGGTCAACACCATCTGTCGAAGACCTTTTCAAATTAATCAATGAAATTTAGGCAGAGTGAGCTGTGACTGTCACTCTGTTCGGTGATGACGATGATGTGTAGATTCACCTTTCCTGATTCCAACGTGTTCCAGCGGGTAAACTTCTGAGTTCCATACACCTATAAGTGATTTTATTCCTTATAATGCAGAAAAAATGAATGAATGAAAATGACCTTGGCATAATTTCTATTTTTTTTTGTGTGTGTGTCATCAGCTGATAAAATACACATGAGGCATACGGTCAAAGAAAAGTCCATTCCCATTCATTCATTAAGTGTAAATTTGTCTAAGAAATGAAGAAAACAAAACACAAACACAAAATTGAAGAGGAAAAAAACAATCAGAAAAATAAACATTTTTCCTTATCATGTTTCATTCATTCACACTTTGTTTTAACTAATATACAACACAACACACACTAATGTCGGGGTTTCATTCCCTTCATCATATGATATTTCTTCTATTTCTTCTCTTGGTCTCACATGCACACACACTCGCTGACATAATTTATTCTTTATTCATTATATAACTTCCTTGTTTTTTGTTGTTTTAATCTTACAAAGTCAAGGTCATATGAAGGTGAAACGAGAGACAGAGAGATTGATAGGTATAGAGGTATAGTTAAAAAGTATATCTATCACAATGAACTTTTATTCATCGATCTTGTGTAGATCTTATTCAATTCTGTTTATCTATTTATTTATTTCTTTTACGAGTTTGATCACGGATTGATATCAGTTAGAGAATCATTGAAAACTAGCTGGGGGGAGTACTGGACAGCCAGCTGTTTCATCAGCCTAGTTTGGGAATCATCGGCAGTGCGCACCCACCACAGTGGGGTTCGAACCCAGGACCTTGCGG